TTCACAACTCTACTCTACGCCTTCCCGCCTATCAGATCTCACTTTATTTTCTTCTCTTCGTCAGCGCCTATCGTCGCCTACACTCCCAAATATTTTTTTGTTCTACTTTTTTCTTCTCTTCGTCAGCGCCTATCATCGCCTACACCCCCAATATTCTTTTTATCTCTTCTTCTACGCCTACCATCTATTTTTTTTCTTTTTCTCTCCTCTTCGCCTACCTTACTCCTTCCATTTCTTTTACTACGACTTATCATCTACGCCCCTGCATGTTCTGCATATTCTTCACGTCGCAACCCTACCCTAGTGATTGCTCACCCAATCACGGCTCTAGCACAAGGAAAAGAGCGCTGATTCTCACAAGTCAGTGTTTCCCTTTGGCTGAGTTCTAGCCAATAGGAACGAAGCTAGATAGTTTGTAAACGACTGAATGTCACTTTTGGTTCTCCCCTGTCCCGCACACTTGGTTTGTCTTGGACACTGCGCAAAGTTGCTACACGCCTATCACCCTCGCCTACCTCCTGTTTCTTGCTTCGTGACAGTTCTGAAGCACAGGCTACATTCAGCAAAGACAGGTAGGATCAATTTGAATGGCAAAGCCCACTGCACACATAGGTGCCGTTATGAATACTCCTTCGCATGTATTTAATCGTATTTTTGCCTTTGGTACCTCGAGATTAAGTGCAGGCAAAAATTCAATGCAATACAAAAACCAAGTAAAACGAATCTGTATTTAAAAAGTTTACACTACAGTCGAGAGTACTCATTCTCGTAGTAAACTTACAATCTCATGTCCAGATTGACCAGTTCTTTTGGCTCAGTTGGGAGCGCGTCTACTTATAGATCACTTTACACCTGATCTAAGTAGGACAAGAACTCACCGATGATCGCTGGTTCAGTCCCAGGTCCTTGACATCGACACCAGGAAGCCTAGTTAGGGTCGAGTCACAACCCTCCCCTTTTTACTCTGTACGGCACCCTATTGGTCGGGAACTTTTAATGGTGGCCATTTTGCACTTTGCGGTGTCATGGAAACGTGTTCAATGTGCGGTGCCGACGACGGCCCAACCCTCCGACAGTGCAAAATGTGTGCATCGTGGAAGAAGCCGCGAGGAACGGGTGGCCCGAAGCGGAAGAAGGTCAAGAACTGTGTGCTGTGCATGCGGTGCCATCAACAGCGCAAGACGTGCCGCCACCTGCGAGGAAGCGAGGACGTCCGAAGGGAGCGAAGAACAAGGCGAAGGTGCAAGATGTGCAAGGCGAGTCTACACCGAAGAAGCGTGGGCGGCCACCGAAGTCGTCGTCAAGTGCCAACATGCCGTCAACGCCGTCAGAGGCGGACGTCACGCCGATCCCAGTCGGGGTATCCGAGTTTACACCCGACCACAAGTCCATTCGATCCGAGACAATGTTTCGGAACGTGTCGTTCAGGCCGCTACGAGAGATGCAAATCCACAAGAACGACAAGAAGCTGCTCGCATGCTACGCGGATTGCCAAGACTTCATGCTAAGTGGTGTGGTCACCGATGTGCGCTACGTTGTTGATAGCGAGAACGATCCCGACATCGACTCGCCGGGCAAGAACACGAAAGCCGAGGTCAAGGCGATGGTGGCATTGTACAAGATCACTTGGAATCACACACGGTTTCAGCGCGACGAGCCGTGGATTACTGCGCGCCTGTTTTACTAAGGTGTGTTGCGTGCGTGTACATGTATCTTTCTTATGCATTCTAGGTGTGGAACAGTTTGCGACTTTGAAGGCGAACCAACGTATGAACGCGGGACGAAGTTACCTGCAAATCTCCTTGTTCAAGCCCGAGGACGAGTCGCACGATCTGACCAAGTGGGACAAGAAGTTCCTTGCGAACAGTTCATTCGACGAAGAGACCAAGAGCGACGAAGAAACCAACGACGACAGTTTGGCGCCGCAAGACGACGACGGCAGCGGGGACGAGTGGTCCGAGTACGTGGACCGTGGTTGGAAGAAGCACGGGCACTACGACGCGACAGAAGACATTGAAGGACTCGAAGACGTGGAATGGACGTGCGGAGGACATTACGCCGGGCCCACAGACCTCTATGAACACGAAGACAACAAGGACGACACGCCCGTGAACGAGTTGCGCATTTCGGAAGAGTTCAAGCATCTATCCAAAGACCCCGTCAAAGGTTTCCTGGCGTTCATGCCGCTGGAATTTTGGAAGACCGTGACGTTGCGAACGAACGCCAAGGCCGTGGCGCTGCAAGCAGCGCATCCGAAGGGCTACGTAGGTGGGCGCGAGTTCAAGAAAAGCATCGAGCTGGTGGAAGTCATGAAGTTTGTGGGCCTGCTTATCATGATGAGTGTCGTGCAAGGTGGTGAGTACAGTATGTATTGGTCAAAGCCGAGTATGTCGTTCCTCATGTCGCCGACGGAGAACTTCGGGCGCGTCATGCCGATCGACCGATTCAAGCAATTGCGGGCGTGCATCGCATTCAACGACGTGGTCGAGCCCGCAGACCCACTTTGGCGCATTAGGCCGCTCAACAACCTGTTGAAGGCATCGTTCAAGAACTTCGTCGTGGCCGGCCGCGTGATCAACGTGGACGAAGCATGCATTCCGTGTCGTTCAAGTTATGCGCGTGCGCTTATCGTCTACAATCCCAAGAAACCTTTGGGCAAGTACCACTTCCGCATTTACACGGCGGCGTGTGCAACTACGTGGTATGTCTTTGCATTCAAGATCCACTCCAAGGCTGCCCGCAACTTCGAAGAGGCAGACGACGACGACGACGGCGGCGGCGATGACAGCAAGGTTGACCCAGACGATGGCGCGGAACACCCGCGGGATGAAGTCAAGCCAAGCGCATTGCGACAACACGTCATCGACATCACGAAACAATGGGCTGTAAAACCAGTTTGCATGATGTATCGTGAGATTAAGGACGAGTCAGGATAAATCTAGGGATCAAACGAAATCAGTCATATTCTTGTCAGTGACGGATGGCCATTACAATAGCCACTGAACAAATTAAATATCCAATCATTTCCAAAAGACCGCCAGATTTCCAAAATGTAGCAGCATGTTGTCATTTATCGAGTAATTGAGTAATTTAGCACTAGCTTCTTCCTACCCCGAAACTCCGAAACCCCGAAACCCCGAAACCCCGGTCTGCACTTTTGCAATTACTCGAAATCTTAGGACACATTAGCGATGCATCGTGTAGGGTATCACCTTCAGATATGTTAGGTGGCAATTTCAAGTAATGTTTGAAGGATTTAGCCTGTCAAACGCTGTCCAAGTTTTTCAATGACTTTGAACTGAATGGTAGTAAAACTCCACTCGTCAAGAACGATTGGTTTGGAGGCGACCGATCGTTACGGTGACCTTAATTACCACTGATGCATAGCTTCTACTATGTAGTACTTTGCTATGTTTGTACTTTTTAGAGGCCTTTGTGCCTGCAGTTGTGTCCTTTGACTCCGGCGTGTCAATATATTTAGTCGGCAGCCAATGGGAATTAAGTACTCTTGGAGATGCTCAAAAGTCGTAAGAAGTCCAGTTATTTCGAATAATGTACATCTTTTGATCAGCATGGCGCTTTCTGAATAGGTTTGGCAGTAATTTGGAAAGTCGGCGGTCTGAAACCAAATATCCGGATATTTCCACGTCGGACACTATCTAATTATCATGAACACTATTTCGGATAGAAGTACCTCGATATTGTGAATAGCACAGTTTTTGCTCAAGACACGAATGACTGATTTTGGGGCCTAATGGGAAGGTACAGTTGTTATTATGTTATGCATGTAGTCTTATGCATTCGTTGTATGCTCACATCGAGTGATCAACATGGACAACTGGTACTCGTCGGTGGAGTTGTGTTTGACGCTGCTCAAGATGGGCATGTATTGCCGAGGAATGGTTCGAAGCAACAGAGCGCACAACCCACGGTTCGGCATGTTCGACAAGAAGCAGATCAAGTCCGTCATGCGCGGTTCAAGTCTAGTGTCCGTCGCTACATCTCTTGGCATCATTGCCGTTTCCTGGCTCGATGGTACAGTCGTGAACATGCTATCTACTGCGGATGCAACTACGAAGTCGTATGTCCATCGCCGAATTGGAAGGTACGTGGCTACATTATGGTATCTCATGCTAACTTTAACCAACCCTTAGTGAAACTCGCCAACAAGAATGCCTGTCACTCGTCGGCCTGTACAACAAGTACATGCAAGGTGTGGACCGCCACGATCAACTCCGCGAACGGTTCTCGATCGCGTCGGGTGCAAGTTTCAAGCACTGGTACAAGAAGCTCGGGTTTGCACTCGTCGACATTGCTATCACCAACTTGTACGTGCTCTACACGCTCTGCGAACCAGTGAATCGACGCGACTCGCACATGCATTTCCAAACAAAGCTCGCGAACCAAATGCTGTTTGAAACGGATTGGACATTGTAACTTACCCTCTATGCTACGTTGCTTCCTCACACACTTGTAGGTTTTCGGAGACCCAAGTACCAATGGAGTACGCCAACGTACCAATGACTCAGTCTGCGAAGGTTCTTAAAAAGGCGGCGGCCGACAAGGCGGCAGCCGAAGGCAAAGCCGCTGCTCTGAAGCGCGACGCTTCTCTTCGGCAGCCGCCAACGCCCTCATTCACTTGTCGGGCGACGGACAAGCAAGCGGAAGTGTCGTACGACCAGCGTATGCGCCGTTACTGTGTCGTTTGCTACTTCGAGCGGAACAAAGAACTCATCAAGACGCAGTGGTGCGACGTGCACAAAGTGTACTTATGTACAAAGGCCTACGTGCCAAGCGACCAGCAAGTCCCAGCGCACGTCTGCCCTCATGCCGCGTGGTCCTGCTGGGACAAATTTCACTCTTTCTATCATCCGAAGGGCCTTTTCAAGAAGGACGGCAAGATGGATCGAGGCAGCGAACTGTACAGATTGAAGAAGCATAGTGTGATGGAACACAAGGCGAGCAGCGCGAAGAAAACTCTCATTTTTCTTTAGAGCTATAAGCCGCCGATCATACATGAAAATCGCACGATCGGATCATAAAGTTGAACAATTAAAAAACATAACTGCAAAGTTACACAAGTGGGATTGAACCCTAGACTTTTCGCTTCTAAGCACAACGACATACCACTGAGCTACTGGAGCAGTTGAATTGTTCATTGGTACAAGTCAATAGATGTATTAACCTAACCTGAAAATTCAACAAAAAGAATAACCCTACTACGATGACCGCCGTAATGACCGACCGTATTACCACGACCGCCGCAACGCGGACTACTCGTTCTCTGGACGTGGAGGCGGTGGTCGAAGCGGCGGCCGTCCCCGGTCTCCTTCGCGTCAAAATGACCGCGGCCGTCGCCCACACTCGCCTGCCAATACAAATGACCGCAGCCAAGTGCAAACTCGAAACGCCGGATGGGGTCCACCACCACCACTAACCCGCAACGGAGGATGGAACATGCCTATCATTGTGCATGATGCCATCGTACTTGAAGATGCGACATCTGCGGCGTCACCCGAAGCCGGTGCCGTGCCCGGGAAAAGATTTTTTTCGAGCAAGATGGATTATTTCCGAGCGAGGCTTTGGGATGGAGCATTTTAGAGCGTACTTAGACTGTTGGAGTCTTTTCGAGCGTACTTAGTAGGGACTATAGCTGTTGTGATGGAGTGGATTGTTTTAGAGCATTACGGATATTACCTAATGTGACATAGTTCAGTTTTCTGTTACGACTTACAGTGTGACAAACCGGGCTGATAGTGAAGTTAAGATATTCCCAAGTGGATAAACTGGGACAATGGTGCAATTGCATGCACAACAAACACACAGCTCACAAGGGGTTTGCAAATTGGCAATCGTTTGCTATCGCAAACGATTGTTAATGCGCAAACCCCGGGCATAGCATTACACTTACGTTATCCGGGGTGGAGACGTAGTCTCCGGTGGGGAAAGGGTGCGGTTCTGGTGAAAGCATGCTGGGTGGCTGATGACCATGATGACGTCAACAATTATTGTTTGGGATGCGGCAGAGGGATAAATTCGATGATTGGGTATATTCCCCCGAATAATATCATACTATTTTAATAGTATTAATAGTACTAGAGTTGTACTTCGACGTAACTATCATTAGAGGCGCCTCTGTACTCAGCATTGGCATTTTAGTAACCATATGATTTTATTTGCTCGAAAATTCACCAATGACTAACACATGTTATTGTGCCTATTAAGTGCGCTCGGAAAGTGTCTCTCTGGACTATTTTGCTCGAAATCGATCCATTCTAAGGCGTGCTCGGAAATGCTCCATCGTTTGCTCGAAAAAAATGCGCACCCGCCGTGCCCGCGACATCTGCGGCGTCATCCGAAGCCGGTGCCGTGCCCGCGCCGTCGCAAACAGCCGAAGTGGATGCCGTCCCTGCGCCGGAGGAAGTCGCGCAAGTTGTTGCGCCGCCACTCCAAGTTGACGTTGTCGCTGCTGGCGACGACGATCTTGTCGTTGCGCCGCTCGAAGGAGGAAACTAGATCATGAGTATGATAAGTTCACGTATTCATACATGACATAAGATTACCTCGTGATGTGACGTGTTGTCTTTTCCGTCGGTTCCCACGGCAATTCTCACGCAAAAGTTGAAGTGAGTACAATACTTTGCGATGAGCCTAATAACTATTGGCTGGAATTTATTGTTACTACACTGCGAATCGCACGACAATGGGTGATATCTTTTTTAAATTACAGCTTGATGTTCAGAATAAGGAAGTTTCATTGACCAAAATATACTGGCTATATCGTACTATTCGTGTGTTTCATTGGCTTAGCCACCAACCTGCGAATCACAGGCCGGTCCACACGTCCGGGTTAATGTTTTTAATAAAATAGAAAGGACCGTCGATAGTCTCGACCACTGTCAACAATCTCAAATGTTGCAACTACTTTCGGACAGAGGTAGTAAAGTAATCGAAATTGATTACTTCGAAGTACACTTTCGTATTTTCTCAAGTCTTACTTCAGTACTACTGTTGTGGTGCGGACTATATACAAAGGTTTATAATGGTTCACCATGATTTGAAGGAATCAAGGACCCTTAATCCTTCATAGTGATGTGCTTGTGTCCTGTTCCCGCCCTCCGAAGTTATGTATAGCATTTCCACCACACCTCTATATTTTTGGTCCCTCTATAATCCACATGTTCGCAGTCTCCTCTGCGTTGGGGTGGAGATTTTGTGCGATCAAGTCGTTGTCGATGTTGTCTGTCCGCACATACTTTAATCAAGTCAAATCGCATCAAAAGTAACTCGTCGCAGTCTCTCGGCGTAGGTTAGAGATTTCAGGCGATCAAGATGTTGTTGTCGATGTTCGCAGTCTGTTCTCGGCGTCAGCCTCGTGTCGACTACACGTGCGTGAGTATGTGTAGCCGATGACCAACATCCGTGCCCGGATGTGCATGATGGTTGCGCAACCAAGTTATTCAGTGGCTGAGGTAGACTATAGCAGATGATTGGTTGTGAGAAAGAACTTAGACATGCTTGATAATGAAATTCACTTTTGAATTTGTCATTGAGGTCACCGTTGTGAACACGGTAGCCATCGGTTGTGAACATCGGCGTAAGACAACAAAGAATTCTATAGCTGTCTTTAGACACGCTAGCATCTGAACGCATGGTAGTCCCCTCGAGTGGGAACGACCCTGCCATGAACGTGGAGCTCCCTGGCAGCGACCATGATGAAGAACGCGAAACTCGATCCCCTTCGGATCGCTCCGCAAGTCCGACAGCCGGATCTGCATTCCAAGACCGTTTCCAAGACCGCGGAAGGCCGCGGAGCCAAGAAACGGTGCGGCGACTGTTTCGATCTCCCCAAGGACGCCGGCAGCCGGTGGCAGTGGACGAGTCATGGACTTACAGACGGCCGACCGGTCCAGCGCCTGACAGCACGGAGCCTACGGATGCCCCGGTCGCGGAAAAGGAAGACGTGGACATGAGCCATACGGACGTGTACCTACACAACGCTCCGGTCCTCCCGAAAAATCCGACGTTCAAGGGATCGACCAAGGAGGAACGCCGTACGTTTATGGCCACGTACAACTTGTACATCAGCCAGACAACGGCCCTTACCGTTAATGGGACTCAACAGTTCGTCATGCCGGTGAACGCATGCATCGATCCAGCTAGCAAGTAACGTATCGGCTGAGTGGGATATGGGTAAGAACCCGTACGAAGTGACGGAAGCCGAATGGGTTGCGTGGTTCCGGCAAGGTTATGACGTCGACATACGGGCGCTGGACTCGCTCAAGAAACTGATCAAGGCGGCTGTCGTGTTTGACATGTCCGTACAAGATGCCGACTCACGTATTGGGAAGATGTTGGACGGACAGGCAGCCGCCATCCCTCGCGACCGTCAGGAATGGGTGATCAATTAAGAAAGACCAGCGATCGTCAAGATCATTACTGACTCAGTCAAACCAACGTCGCTCCATCGTGCCGTGACTGAGCAGATGGCGTTGACACGCAAAAAGTCGTTGAAGAAGGACGTATACCGTTTCATACGGTGGTTGCGGGAGTACGCGATCGGGCACGAACGGTTCGTCGGTTACAAAGAAGATACGAAGCCAGCTGCGAAGCCCGATCCGCCCAAGACGAACCAAGGAGGTACGCACGGACTCCGTACGGCTCCAACTCAGTCGACACCGCGAGCACCAGCGACAGCGACGACGCCCCAGGCACCACTTGGGCTGACGTCAGCGAACAGCTCTCTGAAGTGCAAGTCTACGAACCATCGCGTACGGGAGTGCCCGGGTATCACTGAGGAGGAAGCAGTGAAGCCCCCCAAGCCACACGGACGAGTCCTCGGCCGTGGACGGAGCGACGGTGATCGTGGACGAAGGGACGGTGGACGTGGAAACGGACCCCGTACATACGGAACGTGCCGAATTGGTTGCTAGGGTAGAAGGTGTGTTGACCGTAAAGGCTTCGTTGCTCGACTCCGGAGCTGACTTGTCGGTGGCATCTGGTGGCCTCGTGTCGGCCTTACTGGCAGAGGGTGCTGCGCCAGAGATCACGATCATGGGACCGTTTTCCCTACGGCCGTACTGAGCGGGCAGTCGACCAGTCGTCGTGACCAAGCAAGTCCGTTTCGGAAGTTTGGAGTTCAAGACCGGATGTGGACCCTTGATGCTGCGCGGGCTGCGCGTATGTGTCGACGAAGCTGTGGCGGGCGTGGAACTGCCCTTAGGCCTGTCGGTCATGCAAAAGCTGGGTTACAGCGACAAGACGTTGCTCGAGAACGCGCGCCGTCAGCAAGCGGAATGGGACTTTGCCGACCAATCGATCGCGACGCCCGGTGAGGCGATGCATCGAGCCCTCTGTGTGGAAGAGACGTTGGTGAACGACATCGACGACGACGACGGGGTGTGCTGCGCTACTCCAGACTGGGGTACGGACCCATACCCCACCGACGGGCAAGTCGATGACGATCCAGTCCGTACGGTTCTGATGAGCAGAGTTGCCGACGCCGCTTCCCAAGGCATGGATGAAGAGTCCGTACGACGTTTACAAGACGTACTGGTGGAATTCAAGGACGTATTCCGTTTGAAGTTCGGTCGGGACCCTCCGGTCAAGGTGGAGCCGTTGAGGTGCATCTGAAGCCCGGATCCGTTCGAGTGAAGTCAGGACTTCGGTGTTACCCACCAACCCATGTGGTGTACTTGGAGAAGCACATACGTGAGCTTGAAGAAGCCGGTTTGGTGTACCGTAACACTCGGTCACGTTGGGCCGCCGCGCCCTGTAACGTCCCGAAGAAAGACCCGGGCGACCTACGGATGACGATTGACTCAAGACTGATCAACGCGTGTACGGAGCCAATGCCATGGCCGATGCCCAACTTAGAAGTTGCGATGTCCGTACTGCAAGGCTCTACGGTGTACTTCACTCTGGACTGGATGAAGGGTTATTGGCAACTGCCCTTACACCATGACTCCCAGGAGTACTACGCTTTCATGACGCCGATCGGGGTTGTCACTCCAACGCGGGTGCTGATGGGACAGTTGGATGTGGTGGCGTACTGTCAAGGCGTTGTGGACGAGCTGTTCGGAGACATGCTCATGCACGGTCTGCTCGACAACCTGCTGGGATACACCGAGAACACGGACGACTTGCTACGTTTGCTCCGTCAAGTACTGACCGTACCCCAGGCGTACGGTTTCAAGTTGCATCCGGGCAAGTGTACGTCCTTCACGACGAAGACCGTATGGTGCGGAAAGGAGATCCCCGCGGACGACGTGGCGCATGCTCCGAGCCGAGTGCAAGGCCTTTGCGATTTGGAGCCGCCACAGACGGCTGCGGACCTCCAACAGTTCCTGTGTGCTACGAACTGGATGCGTGCGAACATCCCTCGGTATAGGGAGCTGGTGGCCCCGTTGACGAAACATATGGACATCTCAGCCAAGGCGGCCGACTCTCCTAAGAAGACCGCGTCGACCCGTTTGGCGTTGAGTTCCGTCGGTTGATGCGACGACCATCAGGCGTGTTTCGACCGTATCAAGTCGAGATTCAAACGTATGGTGCCTTTGGCCCACCCAAACTCGGACAGCATGGTTTGCCTCGGACGCAAGCGAAGGATATTGGGGGCGATCGCGACTCAAGTACCAGTCGAGGACCTTGCTTTCGCGGCGATCGACCAGCAGCACGAGCCGTTGGTGTTTCTGAGTGGAGCATTCCATGGCGCGATCGAACGGTGACCTATCATGAGGAAGCGTTTACGGTGATGGAGTCCTGCAAGCGACTTGAGTACCTACCTCCTCATACGACCTCAGATCGAAGTGATGAAGAACAGGCGCGTCGATTCGTTGCTTCCAACGACGCCACCAAGGGCTTTCGTGCCAAGCTTGAGGCACGCGTATATTGCACCCATATGATCTGGTGCAATGACTTCTCGGGGCAACTCTTGGTGGATCGTGTACTTGTCAAATACCCAACCGACATCGGACCACGACACGTCTGCCAGCGGGGCCCCATACACACCACCATGCCACGACTTGTATTGATCCATCACAGCGTCGAGTTTCGTCCAGCGTTTATAGCTTGTATTGGGCAAATCGTCCAACCGAGCGACCACCACGTGGATTTTTCGAGCAAGGGGGGCGTTCGTTGTGTCGAAACATTCCGCGATGAGTGACGCAGCAGGCATATTGGCCTTGTGGTCGCCAAGGGAATCCAAGGACGCTCGTGTCAAGTCAATGGGGTTCCCGTTGAGCAAAAACTGACCATCCTGGGCTTGCACCAGCCCTTCCACACGGTACAGATCCAGTTGGTCCGATGGAAACTGGTACATCTTGGCTTTCTTGATCCCTTCCTTGAGATGCCCCACGGTTCCAGCAATGTCCACAGGGAAAGGACGCCCATTGCCCTCGACGACGCAGAACACGGTGAACATTGTTTGAAATGACTGTTGGGGGCACTTTCCATATTCGGTTTCCACTGAAGCATTGGTCATTGAGTGGTGCCATAGCAATTTTTGTGTGAATATTACTACCAGGTACTGAGTACTGTAGAGTATTACTTCGAAGTACTCCGGAGTATTTATTTATAGTAGTAATTTATGATACACTGGTCAACATATGACCAACACAAAGCAGCCAATCAGAATACTGAAATAAAAACATATACCCACTTTCGAAGCATTTGAGTACAAATTCTGGACGAGTGCTTTCTAGTTTCTGAGGCATCTACTTTAGTTGACATGTCAGTTGCGAAGCCATATCACATGTCACATTATTCAAAATGGCAGTGACCTCCAAATATTTATATTCAGATTCTGCAATAGATTATTCGATTCTACAAGGCATCATTGTATAAAG